AGAGCCTTGCATCATGTCTTTGGATAAAATTAATTATCACTGCATCACGCCACATGTTTTGTATCTATGATTTGAAAAAAAAAAACAAACCAAAACAACCAACTATCGTCCTGCTCACTGATATCATCTGTGCCGTATTGTATACTGGTCTATCATAGAGTGTATAATAGTAGTGGTTAAAAAAACCCATCTTTCCTCCAAGCCAAGTTCTTTGTTCGCTCTCTCATACTGAATTGTTTGCTAATCTACCATGTCCCCTACCTTTTGATAAATGGAAAGCCTGGAGATGAATATACCCATTTACCTATATGGAAGGAAAATCACAGAACCACCAGTTTTAGATGCTATTCACAAATGATAGAATCCCATACGAGCTGAGACGCCGCCTCGGTAATCAAAGGTCTCCCCCAGGTCTTAGTGGGCAACCAAGCTGGCCTGGTGGATGGTTATTGGAAGAAAAAGAAAATCAGAAAGCAGAGAAAATGGAAAAACAAGAATATACCTGTCAGACTGTCACCAGAGAGTAATTGAGAAATGGGGAAAAAAGAGAGACAAAAGACAACTTTTTTACTGATGTCCCTAATGGAAATTTGGCTAGCAATGACTTGCGTAGCACAAAGCCGTCTTGAATTTTTCTGGTGTGTAAAAACTTTTTCAGTGGGTGGTTGCCGGGTGATCTGGTGTGGTTTGCTCCTTCTTTCCTATAGAACATCTATCGTCCTTATCTCCCCTCCTCCTTTTTTGTGTTTGTTACTCCCTTGTAACACCTCCAATCTTCAGCACTTATATTATGACCTTATTGTGTTGCAAGTGCCGTAAAACTCTTACTAAAACTAAGACTAAACCAGACAGTTGGGGAGAAATTGAAAGAAAGAGACAAAAAAAACCCCAACCCAACTTAACTGATGTGCGTATGGAAATTTGGTTAATAATGATGTGCGCAGTACAAAGCCGTCTTGAATTTTTCTGGTATGTAAAAACTTTTGTTTGTGTTTTGTTTCCAGAGCAAAGCCGGAGAGATGACATGGAGTCGCTGGGATATGTGTTCATGTACTTTTTGCGTGGTAGTTTACCGTGGCAAGGCCTCAAGGCAGCAACAAAACGGCAGAAATATGAACGCATCAGTGAGAAGAAAATGTCTACTCCCATAGAAGAATTATGTAAAACATTTCCATGTAAGTATCCTACCCGGTATGTGTACGACTTGTTTGTCTTGCTAATGCTGTAAAAATCTTACTCAATTTAAAATATAGCTCTGTGTTTTTATTAGGAAATTCCTTTCTTTCACTAATGTAAATGTTTTGCATGCTATTTCTGTCTAGATCTGTTAATAGAAAAGAGGTTTTGTTACAAAGCAATTTAAAGCTTTAGTCTAGTTGTTGTTTTGCAGTTTTTTTGTATTGAATGAACATAAAAGATCATGCTTTTGTTTACCGTCATCTCAAGCGTCTTGTGTGTAATCCTCCGGGGAATAATTCGATATCTCTGTGTCTGTGTTATGTTGACATTCAAGGATGTAGAATTATTTTATGATCATTATAACAGAGGTTTTTGGTGACTTCAATGGTTACACCGAATTTTACACATAGATAGGGCTGCTACAGAAGAGGGGTCATATGCATGTATTATATTTTTGATGGTAGTCTGTCTTTTTCAGGGGGGGGCGTTGTTGGTTTGTTTTGATGGGTGTTCATTATAGTTTGAATAGGCTTAGGGTCAAACAATCTCTGCGGGCGGTTGGCGGGTGCTCTGGTGTGGTTTTCTTCTTCTTTCCTATCAAACATCTATTGTCTTTATCTCCCCTCCTCCTTTTTTGTGTTTGTTGCTCTCTTGTAACACCTCTAATCTTCGGCACTGATATGACCTTATTGTGTTGCATGTGCTGTAAAACTCTAGGTAATTAAAATTGATACTTAAAACAATTTTCTTTTTTTTCTTTGATCCACAGCTGAGTTTGCCACATACTTGAACTTCTGCCGATCACTGAGATTTGATGATAAACCAGATTATTCCTACCTACGACAGCTATTTAGAAACTTATTCCACCGGCAAGGCTTCACATATGACTATGTATTTGATTGGAACATGCTCAAATTTGTAAGTATTAGATGAAGACTGCTCTGTTTTTATTTGGTTATCACTCAGTTTTGTTCTTGAATAGGTCTGCTGTTTGAATTGTTGGTCCAGGATCTTGCTCCTTCTCACTTATGAAACATCTGTGGGGGCTCTTGTGCCCCTTAGGTGAGGATGTCTTTTTTTGGGTTTGTTACTCTCTTGGAACACCTCTAATCTTCGGCACTTATATGACCTTATTGTGTTGCAAGTGCCGTAGAACTTACTTATACTAAGCCCATGGAAGGCTGCTGAATTAGCGTTGAGTTATATCATAAAAAACACATTAAAATGGATGAGTGTGACACAAGAGTCTATGGTTCCCAGTGACCTTGATGAATAATGCATGTGGAGATGGTTGGTGGATAGAGCCAGTAATGAGCCTCAGTAATGAATGAAATTCCAGATTAACATTAAAGGGCGTTTACCTCTGTCACTCGGAATTATAACCATGTAATTATGTTGATTTCTGATGTAATAATCATAACGCTCTGTGTCTGTGTTGTCTTGTTATTCCAAGTTTGTGGGTGGTTGGCGGGTGCTCTGGTGTGGTTTTCTCCTTCTTTCCTATTAAACATCTATCTTCCTGATCTCTCCTCCCTTCTCTTTTATGTTTTTTACTCTCTTGTAACACCTCTTATCTTTGGCACTTATATGACCTTTTTGTGTTGCATGTGCCGTAAAATTCTTACTAAAACGATCTGTCCTTCATTTTTGCGTTTGTTACTTTTCTCTTGTACCACCTCTAATATTTGGCTATTTATATGACCTGTATGTGTTACTAGTGAAGTAAAACTCTTGTTATATTAGAACCTAACATTCTAAGTGGGTTGTTGGCGGGTACTCTCTTGTAACACCTCGAATCATCCGCGCGCTCTTATGACCGTACGCAGTTGCGAGCGCCGTAAAACCCTATACTACTAATAAAGTCTGCACTTATTTGACCTTATTGTGTTGCAAGTGAAGTAAAACTCTTATTATATTATAAGTGAACAAACATTCTAAGTGTAATTTTCTGCTGTCGCCATGCCAGGGCGGTCGAGGCGCAGAGGAGCTGGAGCGTGACCGCAAGATGCACAGCTCCACGGCCCGGGCCCTCCCCGGCACTGCCCTGCCTCGGCGCACTGACCAAATGGCCGTCCAGCAAGGGCCCAACTCCGGAGACTTCAACAGTGAGTACCCCGCCGTGTACCGGAGAAGCTAGCGTGTCGCTGTACCACTCTGTGTGTCTGTGTTTCGTTATCAGTTTGTCCCAGGCTTTGCCAACTGGCCCAAACCCCCCCCCCCCCAGGAAAAGATGTATAGAGGGGGTCAGAAAAATATGACACAAAAAGTATATAACCATGCCACAGGTGATACATCAAACAGAAGAAAGATGTTTCACTTCTCCCTTGGATGTCGTTAAGAAGCGGATGCCGGAAAATTAAAAAGAGCGTCTTGGATTTGGCTGTGGGGAGTTTGAGAGCCTTTGCACTACGCTACCCCAGCTCTGTCTGCACAGTACCTAGTTCTGCAGAAATTTGACGTCAAACATTTGGAGTTTCACTTCATGTCAAGCTTTTTCGAATGCAATTCTTTGAATATCTTCATAACTACTCCGAATAATCTGATGATTTTCGTAGAGCTTATAGAACATTTGGTTTTTGATTGATCTCATGTTCTAAGTAACTCAGAACGGCCCAAAGTGTCAGATAGAACTTTGTCATTCGGAGGTGGCGGCTAGACCAAACCAGTCCCACATGCTGTAATTTTGTTCATGGTTAACTAATCTGATGTTGTATCGGGTTGGGTGTCCCTGATTAGGGTTTGAAAAAGTTGGCAAGCCTGGTGTCGTAATAAGTTTTTCCTGCTGCTTAGATTGGTTTTTGGTGAGATTTACCGATATATCACTTTATCGATGTCTCACTTTTTTTCTCTGACTCCTTTGCTCTTTGAGTTCTTGTTTGTACGTGTGTGTGTTTTTCCTCTCTTTAATTACTTCACTCTTTTATTTTCGTTGCGACTTGATTTAGATGAAAAAAGTCGAAGACTGATTTCATGTGTGTTGCTGAGCACTGCCTTCGTTGCTGTTTTGTTCGAAGAGAGTACACTGTTTACTTTTTAAACTGAAACTTTTGCCAGTAAGAGGCTTGCCTTGACAGTTTGCGTGTGTCTCTGAACAGAACTCTGTTGTAATCTAAGGCGATTTCTGCACCTGTCAGTCTCTCTTGTTGCTCTTTGGGGTTTAGCCACAATAAATTGTGACAAAAAAGTCTTTAAAATGTTTTTTTTTGACGTCTTGAAATGAGGAAAGAAAAAAAAATTGGATGTATAGTGCTCAAGTGCCAGTATATTGTAATAGAGGAAATGAAGGGTTGTTGTCGGTTATGGGAAGTGGTAACAGAATGGTTATGAATGACTCACTCAATACTCACACCTAACTTACGGGGGTCCCCCTTTAAGAATAGTGCAGGGATTTAGCTGACAAACAGTTTTAAAAGTTTCGTAATCTCTGGACCAAGTTAATTTGTCCTTGTGAGTGTAAGTGGGGTGGGGTGTTATTTGTTTTGTTTTGGGGTAGCCGCTCTCCAAAAAACAGTCAAAATTGTTCAAGACGGCCACCCCTTTGTTGAGGAGAAAAGTGGGCGTCTTGGACACGTGGATGTCTTAGACAGGTGGCTGTTAGAACAGGTCAGACTGTAATACAGAATATATTAATATTAATTAGAAAATGCAATTTCAACAAACGGACGGAAAGTTTTCGTACATTTTTGGACTGAGTGAACTTGGTCTTCTTGAGAGAGAGAGAGAGGTCGAGTTAGTTTTGAGTTGTTTTTGGGTTAGTTAAGTTGCTTCCCCCCAATACCTGCCATCTGCACCAGTTTCTTTCTCCCCCCCCCCCTCCCCTCCCCTGGTCTTGTGCTGTGCATGCTGACTTTGTGACTTAGTACTCATGGGTTGGTAGATCTTTTTCTTGTGGCTTTTATTGCAGTTTTCTTTTCTTTTTTTCTTTTTAAATTTTTTAAAACTCTGACCCGCCATTTTGTTTCCTCTTTTGTCTCTCTCTCTCTCTCTGCAGAAAGGAATTAGTTGTGCCTAAGGAACGTTCATTCAGCATAACAGCATTGATGATTATAAATAGCTTTTGTATTGCGCATCATACCCCTGCTCATCAGCAAGCTTTTTTGTGCTTTACACTCTATAATATTATTACCCCAGCAGAAGGTTAAATTCCCTTAGCTTATTGTACAAACGCTTGAGTCGGCCTTACGCCTTTCTACCTCACCCAACTGTAAGCTATTTATGTATGCTCTCTCTTACGGTCCTGCTGCAACAAGTATAGCTAGTAGAATATATGGCATACATTAGATGTTGTAGCAAGATACTTAATTTTGGTTCTTTTTTCATACTGACAACTTGAACTTTAATCTTTAACAAATAATATTATGCAATACTCGCAGGACTATCTGGTCTCGTTTCTTTTTTTTTTTTCTTCCCATAATGGAAATCTCAGGGATATTGTACATAGCAAGTAACTACTGCGTTAATGAATTGTGCCTGTGTCTAGCTGTGACCAGCGATTCCCCCCCCCCCGACTCTTGTGCGGTCCCTGTAGTCTTTGCTTGGTGGCTTTTGTCCTGTTGGTTTGTTCCCCCGCTGGGTCCTCTTGAGCATTCTAGTGCCCGGTACCATGTGAACTTTTTTTCTTCTATTTATTGCATACTCTTTTTGCGGTGGCCTTTTGTTTCATTTTGTGTTTACTCGACACGTATTCTACCGAGGCGAACAACACCTTGTAGCATCGGCATTTATACTGTATCCCATACTCAAAATTGGCATTAGAACATAACTTTTTGTTTTGTTGCTTTTTTTTTTAACTGTATGGTCTTTTTTGTGGTGTTCTTGAAAATACTATTTTTTAAAAGAAGCATGGAAATAGTGGTAGATATGTCAGCCTATTATGTTCTGCTGTAGTCATTACTCTGCATTGTAAGAATGTTGTAATAGTGTATCCAATAATTGATAACAACATGTCAGAAGAAAATTTATCACTACCACAGGCTCTGGCTAGATTACAGTATAGCTTGAAATTGCCCCAGATTTCAGTAGTGTGAGAGATAGAAAAAAAAAGACCCACACATTTCACCCATGAACAATGAAAAAAGAGCCTCATATTTTACCTGTGAACAATGGAAAAAGACACACATGTTTCACCCGTTAAGAATGATTGAGTCTTTATCGGCCTCCCTGTTTCCCCTCTGTTCTCCGAGCGGTAATGGTGGAGGGTTGGTCATGTGATTGGCCGCTATGGCCCTGACTGTCCAGAAGAATCCCCCGTGTTGAGAAACTTTAACACTTTGACTCCTCGTTTCGCCCTCGCCGATCAGCGATTTTACCACCCAGTTTCTTTGGATTTCCCCCAAAATGCCTTTGCCTTTAATAGCAAGAGTTTTTACTATATATATGAGCCTTGTGATGGCAAAGTGTTAATGAATATTCCAGACTGCCCAGTGATCAGTGATGTAGTAAATGTTTCAGAATTTCTCCCCACTTTTATGTCGTTCCCGTCTGGAAAATACGTAAACCAACAATGAAAGGGGTATTAAATTCAACTCTTGTCTGTTTTTTAAAAGGGGGCGGGGGAGGAAAGTGAGCCTGGGTGTCGGATTGCGGGATTATAACTTTTGATATTGTTAAAAAAAAAAGATTTTCTCACAGCCCGACGAGGAATGTTTTCACCTGTGGCGATCGCATTAATGTTTTGGATTTTTAAAATAAAGCTCTTTTCCCCATCTGAGTGGTGTGGTGTCTTTTGTAACCTTTTGTATGGAACAGGCCGTTCTCATAGGATGTATCACCGAAGCAGGGGAAAAGGATGAATCTGAAAGGGAATAACAAACCCGATCCAATGTTGTAGCATGTAAATAGTTTTGTGGCATATGTTTACTTATCCTTTTTAATACGAGTGAAATGTTACTTGGACAGCATTGTGTAGTGGTTGGTTGGACTCGTGTTGTTGTCTTTGTGATGTGAATTTTTATGTAGATGAAATTTTAAAAAAGCAGAAATGTAAACTGACTTTTTATTTAGAAAAAAAAAATCAGAAATTGTAAACTTGACTTTTTATGTAGAAAATAAAAGCAGAATGTGTAACTGTTGTATTTTCACAATACTGCTTTTCTTTTCTTTTTCTTTTTCTTTTTTTTTTCAAGAATTGGAATTTTGTTAATACCCTTTTGTTTGATGAAAGAAATGCCATGTTGTTCTTGGAGGGTGTCCAGGGAAGCAAGAACTAAACCTAATTTGGGGTCAACAGCCGGAAATAATTACGATTTCTATTTGAAAATAATAAATCAAGGATTTTCCTTGTCTTGCAGTCAGGACACTAGAATTGCAATTAAAAGGTCATTGGTTTGTTTGCCTGTCTGATTAAACTTGAGAACGCAACTTGTCAGAAATGGAATATAGTTGAGGCATTTATTTATAATGGCAGACTTTGAATGCTCTCTAGAGGTTTATAGTGCCTTGCCTATGGATTTTAATAGGTCAATTTTGGTAATCCCAAAGAATATAAACATGTGATGTAGGGGCGTGACACATACATTATTTGTCGAGACCTCATGGCCTGTAAAACTGTCGTACACAGGGAGAGGTCTTTTTGGACCGGGCCTCGCTGCCAGTGCAGACTTTGCAACAGCTGTGGCTGGGAGGAAAAACATCATACTAAGGCTGTCAGAAACATTGGCCATTTTAGTCTCAAGTGTCAGATTGGAGGAAATAACAGTTTTTAGTGTAGATTTGTTGGAGGCTGGGGGTGCTTGTACTGCCTAAATATTTGTGCATTTCTCTACTCTTGAAACTACATACAGCCTTCCCTGGACCCCTCTGTCTCTCTATGATGGAATACACTTTTGAAGATTGCAGGACAATATTATCTTGTAGAAATTTTTCTCCTGAAGAATTCTCATACAAGTCTGTAACATAATATACATAACCGTCTTTGATGTTAATTTCAAAAGAGTTTGGTCAGCTGATATTATATTTTCCAGGAAAGCTGGTTTTTTTTTCTGTGCATTGAGTCATGATATCTACATGCGCATCTTTTTCCTTTGTTCTCTGACCATGCATGCAATTGTGTTGTAAGGATGTCAGTACTGGAGACATTTGGTCGCTTTTAAGGGCAAGCGGGCTA